CGAAGCCGTAGCCCCGGCCGCACTGCCCAGCCACATACAGCCACCAGCCCGGAGCAGCAAGCCGGCACGGCCTCCCAACACCGTGGAAGAGCCGGATCCGGTCGTAGCCAGCATATCTGACGAGCTGCAGCCACCGGATCGCTGAGAGAGCCGCTAGGAGCCAGCTCGAAGTCGAACGCGAGGAGGACGCCCAGATCCGCCGGAGAAGAAGGGGGGCCCCACCCACACCCGACTCGCCGAGGAGAGACGCCGGCAGAAGCCCACCGAGTCAACGCCATCACGCAGAGCAGCCAAGGGGCCCGAGCCTCCCCCACCGAGAGCCGCCACATCCAGGCGACGAGCGCGCCCCGCCACCGCCGTCCGCCACACGGGCTTAGCCCGGCGGCATCCTCCGGCGACGGCGGCGGGCAGGGAAGGGACGAGGAAGGAGTCCGGCGGCGCGGTTGTTTGCTTCCGCCCGTGTCGCCAGAGAGGCGACGCAGGGGACGGGGATATAGTCTGTTGGATTTTGAACTGAGAGTTTAATTGGGTGCAAACTAGATTAAAGAGAAACTTAATTCGCTCAAGCGTTGACTGCGATGAAGAAAGAAGAGGCTACAGTTGCAGATGGAGTCACGTGGAGTTTGGAAGTAGCATTAGTACATGAAGGTTTGATGCATGGATGAATTTAAGGTGAGAGAGAATATTCGACAATGTGAATTTGTTGGAGCTGTGTCAAATATTGTGTATAAGGTAGGTTACATATGCACCTAGAGTGGTATTGTACCTAAACAGGGTATAGAGCCGTGTCCTAGTAGAACACTTGTATCCTAGGCCTCCTATATAATATGGGAATAGACACGATGTAATCTATGCCAACATTGTTACACATGTGCACACGGGAAGCCGCAGCATGTGTCGGCTCTTGAGAGGCCGGTGTGCAGTATTGTCACAATATCACAGAGAGGAGCACCCATAGTCATGTTCCAAAGATTAGCTGATGTTTGATAAATCTCGTTAACAAATCTCGATCGCGCTTCATGCAATTGTTTAATCTTTGGTAGATCAACTTCTGTCTTGAAATATTCTAACACGCCCCACATATGAGCTGGGTTTGAGGTGTGCGAGACAACCCAAACATATAGGTTGAGTTTGGGGTCCGGTTAGGTGATGTTTTTCTGTTCGGGGTGTCCGCACGGACAGGAGTAGGGGGTCTGGCTAGAGATGCTCTTAATTCAGGTAGCACGAGATCAGTATGAATACCAGTACAGATAGGTCACATATGTTTTGCTGCACTTTGAAACACAACTAGCTATACCCAGAGCAATATTATACATGTAGAGCATAAATTAACTATACATTAAGAAGCTTAAGACATTCGCAATCCTCAGTTTCACACATCAGCCACCACTAGCTAGCTAGTACTTGAAATTCAAAAGATCAACGCGTCCAAATTAGCATACAAGACACATATATATGCCATTTCATAGCAAGCAAATAGAAACTATATATATAGAAAAACCTTCGTAGCTAGCTAGCTAGTCGATCTCTGCATATACGGATAATAGTACAGTAGTACATCGTCTCCCAGGTCCATCGTAAGCTAGTCATGAATGATTCATGAGCACGGCTCCATGGTCGCGGGAGAAGACTAGACGTACGGCCGGCAGCGGTATCAGTTGCCGGCGCCCCAGAGGAAGGCCCCCATGGCGAAGCTGCGCTTCTGCTGGACGCTGCCGTGGACGGGGAGGCCGTAGTCGGAGAGGAGGCGGTCGAGCTGCCACTCGGGCATGGCCTCGTAGTTGGCCCTGGTGTACCTCGGGTAGTGCAGCGGCATCTGGAAGCGGCGCGCGCCTCCGCACCCCGCGCCCTGCTGCTCCCTGTCCCCGTACCTCGCCGCCGCCCGGCCCTCCCCACCGCCGTTCGCCACCATCGTCTCCATGTACGTCCACCTAGAGACCAGGCTAGGAGGCTTTGTAGGTGGTGGTGGTGATGTGGCTGCGTCGCCCTGCCGTCTTTGATCGAAGGTCTGAGCTCGCTAGGTAACGAAGCGGGCAAGGCGACCGCCTTTAATAGCGCCGGGCCGGAGTCGAGGACCCGCGCGCCATCGGAAATATCGCACGGAGAGTTTGGTAGTTTATCACGAGGAATGCAGCTGAGCCAGCTATAACTCTGTGGCCCGTGTGGCCGATGTCGAGACCCAGTACGTGTGCCAGTGTGTGTTCGAACGGGCAGTTGGCAGTTGGCAGGCGCGGCGTGCGTGGACGGCGGACGTCCCACGCCCGTGCCTTGGCAGTTGACAGCCGCGTGCAGGCAGGTCGGTCAACGACGCCCTGCGCCGTCCGTTGCAAACTTGCGAGGCCCGCGCGGGGGAAAAGGTGGCAGAAATGGCCAGCACGGCATAGCAGGCCCGCCTTTTGGACCGGCGGCTGGGCGTGCTTGTTTAGTTGAGCCGGCCAGGCACGACTCTCTCTGGCTCGCACCAAATGATCGATCTGACGGGTGTGACGAGGGTTTATGGGCGTGGTACGTGACACGTGAGACCTTGCGTTTGTCGCCCATTTAGTGCTGATCCAGCTTTCTTGTCGAGGACCTATTTTTTGCGGATATTGTCCAGGACTTTGTAGGGACGAAAACGTGCAGTAACAACGTAGAGTACATGATCGAGCAGGTCGAACGGCACTTGTTTCATGGCCCAACTAATCGTCATGCAGGGCTGTAGGCATGCATGGACCGGCTCGTATCAGGTGGATTGAAGGTGTAGCTGATGTCAATTTTGCCGAGCTGTGTGAGAGAAAAAAAACAGAGTAGTGTATATCGCCCCAGTCTTAGGAGCTCTTTTCCACTGAGTCACAAAAGAAAAAATGGGCGAGGGAGCTCATTGTATTTGTGTAATAAAATATTGTTCAGAACCTAGTTTACGAAGATGCCGTCGCGTACTGTGCGTGCATTGCTCTGACCGATCGATGCAGATGAAACGATCATTGTAAGCGTTGAAAACTAACGTCCTTTCGTTGTACTACTGCTACTAGTTGTGGAAAACAAGGGGCCGGAAGCAACGGGAAAGGTCGAGAAAGAGTGTGCTGGTCTCCACGTACGCCGGCCAGACGACACCAAACAAAACCTGAGCCGGCCAACCAAATCGGCACCAGCCAGCGACATGGGGCCAGTTTGGTTGGCACCCTGGCCATCTCGTGCCTGGCCACAAGTTTCCCTGTAACCTGCCTGGCATCCGTTTGGATTGCGTCCTGAACAATCGAACGAGTGCCTGGCCGGAGCAAGCCTGGAATCGTTATTAGCCTGGGGTTAACTGTGGCACCATCGTTAGCCTGGGCCAGGCTATCCCTTTCGGATGCCTGGTACATGCCTGGCTGTGGATCAATACTAAAATATTTGGATGGGCTGGTGGGCTCCGTACCAGTACAGACTATTAACACTAAAGAAATCCTTCTTATACGTTTTCAGTCCAGGCTGCCAACCAAACGGACCTCTCCCAGGCTAGCCTGGCCAGGCACAAAACACAAAAATTTCAGGCGCAACTCAGGCGCGGATTTTCTCCAGGCACGGTGGTGAGGACGCGAACCAAACTGGCCCATGGTGCGTGAGCGTGCGACGCCCCGTGACATACCGGCACCTTTGACGAGAAGGGAGGGCTGCTCAGGCGCCACGCAGAAAGGAGTGCACCGGTACCACGCCGTCGCGAGTGAGAACAGCTGTCTCGCGAGTCAGAAGCCTTCCTCGCCGATGGTTTCTCAACTAGAAGCGCGCGCGCACGGGAGAAAGGCAGCCCAGATGCTGAAACACTGGGAATATTACCAAAGTAAAGGGAGGTGGAGCATCTGCTCTCGAGCTCAAATCAGTAAAAGCAAACAAAAAGTAAAAAAAAAATTCCTGAAATTGTTTTGTGGTAAACTTTGACAAATGTTTTATATGCTTACAAAATTTCAGCACGAAATGACATTTGTGGTAAAAAAAAATCAACGCTACAAAAATGTTAGTTTTGAAACTTTTGGAGTGCTGATTTTGTTTTTTTGCCACGACTTTCAGAATGTCATTTCGTGCTGAAATTTGTTAAGCATACAAAACATTTTTCAAAATTTATTCAAAAAAAATTAAGAATTTTTTGAATTCTTTACTTTTTTTTATTTTACTGTTCATCAGGGCGTATTTGAGCTCGGGGTCATAATAGGACTTTTGAAAGTAAATTTGCTTCCTAATCAAGGCAAAAACAATGGGAGATGGTTTGTGCCACGCAGGTGCGGGAACTCCGCACAATCTCTCGTGCTTTTCATTTTTGAACTTTCAAATTTGGATATATTATTACGTTTTGAATCAAAAGTTTAATTTATGTTTCATTTGCATATTTGGATTCCTTGTGATGAGGGATTTGAAATAAAACTACTTTTGAATATGTTTTAACACGTTTTAGAAACTCCACTCAGTTTCACCTGCTAAAACTTAATAGGAACAAACGACAAATTCAACAAGTTTCAGAAGGTAAAACTTAAAACAACTCAAACAAGTTTGCCAATCACGAGACTATTAGGAGCCGGGCGCGACCGGGCAGGTGCATGCCCCTGCAAATTTTCACAGAAACAACCTCTAGCCAACGTAGTTGCGATGTCTCACAACTAGGAGCAAGTATGCTAAGGCGTGATAAGCCTATCTACATGGCATTTTTGTTTATGTGAAGGACAGGGACAAAGAGATACTTTTTTGAAATGAATTCTAGTGCAAGAGTGAGTCTCTACACTAAATGAAGAGAAAATAGGAAAGAGAGAACGATAAAAGAATGACTAACCTAATTTCTGTGATTAACGTCGTCATGGCCACACCTTGTCGACTATATTATTAGTCATGCTCTATGATGGTGTGTATCTGCTGGTACGGGGTGGATTTTGGTTTTAATGATGCGTTGCAACTCGATGTAATTGGGATGTTTGTTTTGGGGAAGCACAACGGGAGAAATGCAATATGGACGAGTTTGCAGCTAAATGACAATCGACACATACTCCCTCCGTTCGAAATTACTTGTCGCAGAAATGGATGTATCTAGACATATTTTAGTTCTAGATACATCCATTTTCGAGACAAGTAATTCCGAACGGAAGGAGTACAATTCATCTAGTTACTTCTCATTAGTTTTCATAACACTGCTGCACTTCTTTTCGATAAAACATTATTGCAGAAACGTGCTAGGCCATGTTTAAAAGCAAAAAAGAAAGAATTTCCTTTGGGTACCATGGTTTCTAAAAAAATATGGTTCTAAATACGCCGAGGAGTTTTGATCCAATTAATCTACTAAAAAAATGCTGGAGTGTTACAAACTACTAGTAGAATGCCCATGCGTTGCCCCGGCCTTTTTATTTGTTTTCTCGATTACACATATAAATACATTGCATACATGTTTCTCACTCCATCTCTCTCTCTCCCTCTACCCCCCCTCTCTCTCTCACACACACCCCCTCTTCCTCGCTCAGTGTTGACATTCACCGGCTGAAACATTAAAGGGAAACAATGTAATAGAATGAATAAAACAACAGATTAAATAAATAAAGTTAGTGGAACTACCGAGTAACAACAATGATCCCCGCACATAAGATTAGTACAAAACTCGATGGCTTCCATCACCAAACTTCTTCGGAAAGTAGGTGATGACGAAAGTAAACCGAGACATGGCCTGCATTCTCCATTTCAAGATGGTCAGCATAAGAAGATCCATGCGCACAATAGTACTTGGCTCAAACACAAACTCATATCATGAACTTACAACATCCATATTTTTAACACTTTGTCAAATCGGTTAAAAAAATGATAGCAAAAAGTTGTTGTTTCTCCTTTAAGACCGCTTCATTCATCCCCATCTCCTTGTTGTTGTCAACTTCCAGCGCAGCCATGAGGGCCTCAGCCCACTTGATACTGCTCTTTAATGCCCCACCTTCCAAGTGCTCCACCTCTGAAGAGCATTTGTACTCGTGTAAAACAACCGTTAGCTCTTCCATCTTGTTCCAGTGAATCCAAAAATAGTAGTTCATACCAGAAGAAATAAAAAGCATGTCATAATTAGTAAATAATTACAGCGGAAAATGATAAATAAGAATACGATATTGAAAACAGAACCTCCACCTACAGAAGTAAATTTTACAACTGCAGTCCTCTCCCACTCACATTTGCTTACAAAATAATTCAGAATGTACTACCAACCCAAAAATTTGAGTCCAAAAGAACTGGATCCTCCTACATCATTGGCTAAGTTGCCTGCATGCTGCCGAGATACCGACTTCCTCATTTTCATATTTAAGCAGATATCATGCAGAAGAGATACTTCGGTAGGGCCAAAATTAGTAGCATCAACTGGACAACAGAACCTTCTGTGCATTGATCCTACAATACTACATATTGTTAACAATTACGGTTCAGTAAGAACAGTAGGTGTCAACAAAGAACTAACAATAAGTATATCTTGTACTATTTAATGATGGTTCCTAAAAAATTCTAAAATAGTTAAGCTATTGCTATTACGTACCTGATGGTCTGCACAGACCATAAGATTGTTGGAAAATGATTACCTGCAAAAATGGTATACTCGTAATACTCAAGTTCTTGCAAAGTTCCACAGGCACACTACCAAATAAATGCAAACCTGGGAAATGTCGACATTTGTGCAATCAACAAGAATTTGTGCATCATGCTGTATAGTTTAGCTCCACCAAAATCTAAATACTCTCAGATTACTCGAGGACGTAACTTATTAGCATTATATGAATATCCAATATCAGCAACCGTCCATGATTTATTATGATTAGCGCATTTACTGGATGATGTGGCCAATGTGTCATCTAATATTGAAAATTGATGTTCAGCTTAATTACTAAAAGAAAACAAGGAAACTTTCTGCATATAGATAACCGAATCTATGTATTATTATCTCTATTATTCACA